TGTGATCATGATGCTAACGGAGTCGTGGCTAACATCGCTAACTCCGGACACAAGCGTGACACTACCGGGATTCCAGCTGCTGCGAGCGGACAGGACCAGAGACAGCGGTAAGAGGAAAGGATGGGGGACTAGCATTATTATGTGCAACGAGAGATGGTGTAACCCAGGGCACATCACTGTAGAAGGCAACAGGCTGCACCAGAAGACATTGAACTGTTGGCGTTGATGCGTCCGCTACCACCTGCCCGGGAATTCTTCGCATGTTATTGTAACGCGTGATGTTTACACCCCCCTCGGCCAGACGCGGTAGCAGCCTGTGACTTACATTCACTCCACTGTGCTCAGCACAGACTGGCAAACACAATACCGAGCCCCTCATATATATTCGGGGACTTCAATCATGCCTCACTGACTCTTCACATCTGCCCTACCTTCTCCCAGTAGTGACCTGCCCATACCAAGTGACAAAAACACTGGATTACTTGTTGCCAATGCAGCAAAGCAGGCTTACAGTGCATCACCTCCTCCCTCCCCTTGGCGACTCAGACCACAACCTGGTGCACCTTGTCCCTGTGTATGAGCCCTTAGTGCGCAGGGAGCCACCAGCCACCCGCACAGTACAGAGATGGTCAGAGGAGAGCGAGGAGGCTCTTAAGGATTGTTTTGAGTCGACTGTGTGGGAGGTGATTTGTGATGACCACGGAGAGGACATCGACAGCCTTACTACATGCATTACTGACTATATAAACTTCTGTGTGGATAACACTGTACCTACCAGGACTGTACGGTGTTTCTCCAACAACAAACCTTGGATTACCCCAGAAATTAAAACCGTCCTCAAGCAGAAGAGGAGGGCCTTCAAATCCAGAGACAAAGAGGAGTTGAAAAGGGTGCAGAGAGAGCTGAGGGGACTGATAAGGAATGGGAAGGAGAGCTACAGGCAGAAGATGGAGAACCAGCTTCAACAAAACAACGTTGGTGAAGTCTGGAGAGGCCTCAGAACCATCTCGGGCCACAAACAGCAGAACTCTCTGCCTGGGAGGGATGTGAGGTGGGCAAATGAACTGAATCATTTCTTCAACAGATTTGATTCAGCCATGAGGCAGTCTGCAACATCGGCTGCAGACTCACCCACCCCCACTGCTGCTGTTCCACCTCAGACACTTCACACCTCCTCTATTCACCCTGCTCACTCCCCCCCACCCCCAACTGCAGCATCCAATACACACTCAACACAAGGCTCCAGCCTGTCTCTCTCAACCACCCAGGTTAGGAGGGAACTGAGGAGGATTAATGGCAAGAAGGCAGCGGGTCCAGATGGCATCAGCTCGAGGGTCGTCAGGTCCTGCGCGGACCAACTGTGTGGGGTGATGGAGCACCTCACCGACCGACCACAGTATGTGAGGACTCAGGGCTGTGTGTCGGACAGGGTCGTCTGCAGTACGGGGGCCCCACAGGGAACGGTTCTGGCTCCGTTCCTCTTCACCATCTACACTGCAGACTTCTCCCACAATTCCACCCAGTGCTTCCTGCAGAAGTTCTCTGATGACTCTGCAATAGTCGGCCTCATCACTGATGGGGACGACAAGGAGTACAGAGGTCTGACCCAAGACTTTGTGGACTGGTGCCAGCTGAACTACCTCCAGATCAACGCCAGTAAAACCAAGGAACTGGTGGTAGACTTCCGCAGGCACAAGCATTCTCCACTGCAACCACTGAACATCCAAGGTATGGACATTGAGGCTGTGGACAGCTACAGGTACCTTGGTGTTCATCTGAACAATAAACTGGACTGGACTCATAACTCAGACGCCCTCTACAGGAAAGGGCAGAGCAGGCTGTACCTGCTGCGGAGACTCAGGTCGTTTGGAGTGGAGGGCCCACTCCTGAAGACCTTCTATGACTCTGTGGTGGCCTCAGCCATCTTTTATGGTGTGGTCTGCTGGGGCGGCAGCATCTCTGCTGGGGACAGGAAGAGACTGAACAGGGTGATCCGAAGGGCCAGCTCTGTTCTAGGATGCCCTCTGGACCCAGTGGAGGTGGTGAGTGACAGGAGAACGGCGGCTAAGCTGTCATCCCTGTTGGACAACATCTCCCACCCCATGCAGCAGACTGTGACAGCACTGAGCAGCTCCTTCAGTGGGAGACTGCGGCACCCACGGTGTGGGACGGAGAGATTTCGCAGGTCTTTCCTCCCCACTGCTGTCAGACTCCATAATAAAGACTTTAACTGATCAAGCACACACATCCATACATATGCAATAATACTAAGTGCAATAATCCTTTCTGTCATCGTTGTATTTTTACTCAGTTGTATATAGTATTTGTATTTGTATTCTATTTTTATCTTATTGTATATTTATTTTATTTTATTCTACTGTATATAGTATTTTATTTTATTCTATTCTGTACAGTTGTGTACTGTATTTATTCTTATTGTATTCTAATTTTTGCCTCATAACTTTTGCACTGTCCACTTCCTGCTGTGACAAAACAAATTTCCCACGTGTGGGACTAATAAAGGTTATCTTATCTTATCTTATCTTATCTTATCTTATCTTAGTGTTCGGGAGATTTGGAGTCAACCATCGGCGGAGCTGGGGGTGGGGGTTGCTGACTGGGCTTAAGCCTGGGTCATTTTTTCAGAAGCCCGGGGTCTTTTGGAGTGTAATTTGTTTCATAGTTAGATGCCTGACTGACAACTGTATAAAACAAAAACTACACACACTATTCAAAGCACATAGCGCACAGTTGTAAATTCCCCTTACTTTTGGTATGATCCGAGCTCAGGCACTAGGCAGCTGAGCACAGCACTTACGCATGTGAGCGTGGGGGGAGAAGCTGCTGCCTGCGAGTTTGCTTTTGGAGAAGCACAGCTAGACAGACAGAGGAGAGCTTAAGTTCGACCAGGTACCAAAGCAAATCATTCGTACTGTACAAATAATGTAAATATGACGGTGAATCACGAAAGATTGATATCAAACTGGTCACTTGACCTATATTACGTTACTTGCTGAGAACTGAGAATGGGTTCCAAGTCTCATATAATGCAGATACATTGCTCTTATAGGTGAATGTTATTCTCTAATGTGATGTATTATAAGAATTGATTGACACAGTGATTTAAACAGTAAAGTGCAAATGTCTTGAAACATCTCTCATTTGTTTAGATTTTTCTAGGAAAATGGAAAATAGGTTTGGAAATGATTCAAACATAAATGGAAAAACTGTTTATACTAAAACTAATTTGGCACATTTTTAATGAGTTTGAAAAGTTGAATGCATTTTGATCCATTCGTTGTCAAGATGATTCCACACTGCTTTGCTTGAAGTCTGGGTTGTGGGGAGGCCAGTCTATGAACCATAAAGTCCTTTTCTATCCAGATCTGGTTTAATGGATTAGCAGTGTGTTTTGGGCCACTGGGTATCATTCAGTTCAATTAATTCAGTTTTACTCATATAGGGCCAAAACATGACAAAAGTTGCCTCAAGGTGCTTTACATTGGAAGGTAAAAACCTCACAGTAACACTCACGAATATCTGAGAAGAAAGTTCTTTGTCTTAGCAAAAACAAAGCACTGTCAAGAATCGCTGTGTGCAGGCAGGAGATTGGATCCAAAATGTAGGACTCACAATGCACGGGGATAAACTCAAAAGGCACGGCTTTATTTAACAGAAACACAAGGAGCAACACAAAACTACACTGGGAGAAACTAAAGTTGAGGCACAGGGAAGACACAAGGAAATGCACACAACCATGAGGGATGACACAGAACAGAGGGAGATTCCGACATAAATACACAGAAGGTAAGTGAGGGACGTGGTAACACACAAGGAGCACACCTGAGGACAATTACGCATAACAAGACAGGGAGGACACAACTGAAAATGCTGACCCAAGACGCAGACCTTAAATGTAACACAGGAAGAACACAGATACGCCGAGAGGAGGAGGAGAGAGAGCACGGGGAGAGCACAGACATGGTATAAAACAGGGGGGGAAACAAGACACAGGAACTCAGAACTATATGAACACAGATACACAGAGAGACACACAGGAGTAGGGATGGGTACCGGTATCGG